ACCCACTGAGCCACCCAGGCGCCCCTAAATAAAATCTTTTTTAAAAAGGGGGGGCACGCCTGGGTGGCTCAGTGGGTTAAAGCCTCTGCCTTCGGCTCAGGTCATGATCCCATGGTCCTGGGATGGAGCCCTGCATCGGGCTTTCTGCTCAGCAGGGAGCCTGCTTCCCTTCCTCCCTCTCTGCCTACTTGTGATCTGTCAAATAAAATCTTAAAAAAAAAAAAAAAAAAAAAAGGTCTTTTGCACATGCAATTTTGAGATGCCTATCACACAGCTACTGGAACTCCTCCAAAGATCCAATTGAGTTCATTAGAAAATAAATATGAGCATTCAATTAATCTTGATAGGAAATCCTTAGTCAAGAATCCTCAACTGTCCAAAACAAACATAACAACAACCCTTTAGCTATGCAAATTAAATTAAGTAAATATTCTAGACTTTTGAGAGGCTATACCCACACCTAAAAAGAAAATGAGGGGGGGCACCTGGGTGGCTCAGTGGGTCGATCCTCTGCCTTCAGCTCAGGTCATGATCTCAGGGTCCTGGGATCGAGCCCCGCATCGGGCTCTCTGCTAGGGAGGGAGCCTGCTTCCCTCTCTCTGCCTGCTGTTCTGCCTACTTGTGATATCTCGCGCACGCTCTCTCTCTCTCTCTGTGTCAAATAAATAAGTAAATAATCTTTAAAAGAAAAAGGGAACTAATCTTTCCAAATCTTCCTGAATCTTATCTTCAAATTATATTTGCATTCCAAGTGATATGCAGTGGAATTATATTTTTAATGGATTACCAATGCTTTTCCCCTAGTGCAAATTAAGAGTGGCCCCAAGTTTAGTCAACTTAAACCTAACTGAGAAAATTCAAGAAAAACTTTATTTACATGAGTAATATACTAAATTTTAACATACCAGGAAAACTACCTAATTCTTGATTGACCCACTAACTCAATCCTACAGAACAATTTCTTCTATTTTTAAAAATTTTTTAAATAAAGATTTTATTTGACAGAGAGACATAGCTAGAGAGGGAACACAAGCAAGGGGAGGGGAAGTGGAGAAGCAGGCTTCCCGAGGAGCAGAAAGTCTGAAACGGGGCTCAATCCCAGGACCCTGGGATCATGACCTGAGCCAAAGGCAGATACTCAACCAACTGAGCCACCCAGGTGCTTATAAAGACAATTTCCATATGGGATGTACTATATGTCTTTGTTTTTTCTGGTGCACAGTATGATGCCCCATCACATGGTAGGCATCTGATAAGTATCAGATAAGTAAAAAGATCCTTTGGGGCCCCTACAGGAAATAAAGGAAGATTTAAATATGAACTTTTAGGATTAATAGAGGTTATCAATAGATATGTCTAGTAAAATGCTAATGGTTAAACTAGGTGGTAAGCATACAGGTATTCAATGTAAAGTTTTTTCAACTTTGCTCTACATTTGAGTTTCCATGTTAAGTTTTGAAAAATAGGACCCTTTAAAAAATGTGTGACGATTTAAAATCTAAAATTTAGTAAAAAGATATGCTAAGAACTTTGTTGAAAACCACTAAATCTAAGCATGAGTTTCTACCTTGTAAGAAGTGTGCTATGTGAAAGTTCTACAAGATGATTACCTTTTAAAATTCCCCTGTAACCTGAAGGGGCACTAGTGTTCAAATATGGAAGATGCTAGAGCAAAACATTCTTTAGCACAAGTAGGAAGTACATATTTATTAGCTGTTCCAAGGAATTTTACCAAAATTCTTCAAATAAGATACACTGAAAATCATTATCTTTTAAGGAATTATAGGATTAGTTTACATATGAAGCTAAAAGAATCCTATAAGCACAGTGTTCTATTACAAATAAATTATGCATAAAATAAAGCTTCAATCTCAAAATGAAGTTTATCTTCAGTTTCCTCCAAATGGCCTTAGAGCTCATGCAGGAAGTCCAACAAGTATCAGCTCAAACTCAATCTCCCAACTTCCACAGTTGTTGTTTTTTTTCCAACTTCTACAGGTTTAAGTCTTACTCTATTTTGAGCCTATTTTTAAGGCAATTTGCATTGCAGACAACTTGTTTTAGTCTAAAAGAATGACTTTCCCAACTTTAATGGTATGCATTCAGAGTTGAATTTAAAAAAACAAAAAACAAACAAAAAAAAAACAAAAACCTTCTACCAGATTATTAACTGATAAAGGTATCAGAGTTTTTGTTAGACTTGCAAAAGTCATCTTTAAAGTTACCTCTTCATTGTTACAGATTCAACCTCACAAAAGGAAGCTTCTTTGTCTTAAACCCTGCATTCACCTCCCAGCATCTATTCATCTCTACTTCCTCTTCTTGCTGTCCGTTTACTAATTTCTGAGTAAAACGCAAGTGTCCCTATAACATAGGAATGTTTTTGCCTGACTCAGGAGGTTAAATTTCTTGACCTCTACCATTAGTTAAGAAAATACTACCATTTTACATGCTTCCGGAAAATTGCAACGTTGTTAAACTCACAATTTAATTTTATTTCCAAATTGGTTTAAATGCTCAAAACACACTGTTCTGACAGGACACAAATTCTAAATGGATTAAAAAATTAAAAAAAAAAAACCTGAGATGAAATTTTATCAAGTTCATGCTTATTCTCTTATCAAAGTAGAATCACGTCCCCTGGGGAACAAATTGCATGTTGTGACTATAATTTGATGAACTCTGGCATAGGACTAGAATCATACAGAATACTAACCAAACCATCCTAAGGGTTTTCATGAAGCATCAACATACCAAGCGTAGGACAGAACTGATATGTGAAGTATACAAATGCATTCATTCAACCAAAGATAATTATATTATGCCAGTCTAGTTTCTATTCTCAAGAAAATTAAGTTTTATTGGAAGTGCATATGTCAGTTCCTCACCTGTCGTTCACAATAGGCTTTCATTAGTTTACTAAGCGGTGTATGCCTCTTAATCTTAAACTGCACCACAGAACCATCCTGCCCCGCCACCTTCAAATTAATATGATCGTTGTTCTCAGTCTTGACTCCTTCCTGTTGAAAGAAAAATAAAAGTATAATTTGGAAAATGCGAAAAACAAACACCTTTTAAAGTAGCAGCAGCCCGACTTGCTTCAGCAATCAACAGGTTTCTCATTCTCTATGATAAAAGAGTATACAGCTGTTTTCGGCCGCTGAAATCAATCTGAAAGATGGAAAACCCTGGAGCAACGATATTAAATAGCTGTCACGGAAACAGAAAAGCAGACTACATGCAATACCGTCAGCGATCACCATCGATTTTTTTTTTTTAAGATTTTATTTATTCATTTGACAGAGAGAGAGAGAGAGATTACAAGTAGGCAGAGAGACAGGCAGAGAGAGGAGGAAGCAGGCTCACCGCCGAGCAGAGAGCCCGATGCGGGCCTCGATCCCAGGACCCTGAGATCATGACCCGAGCCGAAGGCAGAGGCCCAAACCACTGAGCCACCCAGGCGCCCCATCACCATCGATTTTTAAAGATGGGTCCCACTCAATGCACCGAAAGGTACCCCTGTATCTGAATTTTCTAAAATGACATATTTTATCCCCCCAAAATATATTTCCCTTAAAAAGATTAAAATAACCATCTTTTCTCTTTATAAAATACAGAACGCACGGATAAAAATCTAGACCTTGCAACTGAAAACTCATTACAACTGTCTTGTTAAAAAGTTACTAAACTCAGTTTAATAACATATCTCAACTGCATTTTAAAAAAACCTCACTGAGGAATATCCCCCCATTCTCTGAAGCAGCGGTAATAACTCAGAACCACTATTCCTGTTCGCCTCTATTAGCAGCCTCACTTTTGTTTATTTTCAGTTAAGGGCTCTTATTCTCCCCTCCCCTTTGTTGTCATGGGTCAAATGCCGTTTTCTTCCAAGTCTTCCTCGTAGATTTCCACCCAACCTGAAGTTCGCCAAAATCAAGGGCTGATGGGATTCTGTAGCCCCCAAGTCACTTCAGAAAGGAAGGGGCAGGGGGTGTCACAGAACAAACCCTACCAAAGTCCCGTGTGCCAGGAAGAAGTGTGAACCTCAGTCCTCACGGGAAGAGCCTCCCGCTGCCTCAAAACCCGCGTTAAAAAGTTCAGCCCGACAAAGTCTTTCTGCTCTCCCCTCTGCCTGCAACTTCTCGAAACCGCACGGTCTCGGCAGGTTAGGGGTGATCTGGCACCAACGGAAAAGCCCCTGCCCAGCCCCCTGGGGACCCCGAAGCCGGGAAAGTGGGAAATACTCCCCGGGAATCCCGGAACCCCCGACCCCTCACGACGGCCCGATGGGGAACCCATCGGCAGCCCATTGATTCTCCTCGAGCCCTCGCCAGGCCAGCGCGGCGCGGGGCAGGGGTCCCCAGATGCCCGCAGCCCCCCATCTCTGAGGGGAAAGCCCGGAGCGGAGGGAACTCCCCGCCACCGCGGAGGCGGCAACACCCGCCACTGCTCCGCGCGGGGTCCGCGGAGGGTGGGGACACCGCGCGCCCTTAACGCCCCTCCGCACGCGCGCCCGGCTGGCCGGGCCCGAGGAGCTCCGCTCGCGGCCCGTGGGGCCGCGGGCGTCCGCGATCCGCCCGCCCTACTCGCGCCAGGCGCGCACTCCGAGGCGGCCGGGGGCGGGGGAGGGCGGCGGGGCCTCCTCCGGCGCGGGAGGGAGGAAGAGGGGAGGGAGGAAAATGGCGCGGAGCGCCCGGGCCTGAGCCGCGGCCGGCCCCGTGGGGGGCCCAGGAAGGCGCGGGGAGCCCGCGGCGGGCTCAGGCCGGACCCCGGCCCGCGCCGTGACCCCGACCGCGCGGGGAGCCGAGGGAGCCGGCGCCGAGCTCACCTTGGGCTTTTCGTCGGCCATGGCGAGCGCCGGAGTCTCCTCAGCTGCCGCTTCACAAAAGAGGTACCAGGTCCGCACCGAACGAGCACACAAGCAGCACCAGGAGCGGCAGAAGAAGGAGGCGGCAGCGGTGGAGGAGGGAGAGGGCGCGCGCACGTCGTGCGCTCCCTCCCCCCACCCTGCGTGCGCGAGCACGAGCCGCCGGGGCTTCCCATTGGTTGCCGCCTCGCGGGAGCGCGCAACGCTTACATAACCACCCCCACCCCCCGCCTCGCACCGCCCCGGCCTGGGCCCGGCGCCCGCCAGGCCGGCGGGAAGAGGCGCGGACACGCGCACCCGGCCCGCCGCGGGGGCGCGCCTGGCTCTGGGCGGGGCTGTATTGTCCTCCTTCTGTGGTGGAGCTTAATCAAAATGGCTTCCAGCTGGTCCTCGGTGGGGACGAGGAGGCTTGAGGCCTAGACCTGAGACTCAGGCTGGGGAAGGCAGACTGACTAGAGCAGGAAGGGGGAGCCTAAGTCAAAGCCTTAGCATGAGGTTCTGGGGAAAAAACCCTCTTGTTGGTGGCCCAAATGCAGCTTTCTACATGGTTGGAGGAACATCACACTCACTCAGCCTCTCATCCTCTGAATTTCAAAGCTTCAGCCTCAACGCGCTTCCCACCGGGCTCTTGCTTCAGTGCGGTGCCTACTCCTTTCTTGCTGGTAAATCCGTACTTTGCTAGCTGAGGAAAAAATGTTCATCCTACAAACTCCTTACTCATGGCCTGGGTCCCAGCCTCCAAGAGGAAACAGGATCCCTGACAGTGAACCACCCAATATGGAGCTTCCAGACCAATCGGTCAGGTTAAAAAATAGAAGTAGGTCCTTCCTGTCTTAGGAGCAGTCCTGACTTCAAGGCAGTGGATTCCTCCTGCTACTCTAGGTAGGTTTTATTATTCCCTTCGTCTTCATGCTTTCTTCCACTCCTCCCTTAGCATAGAAAAAGCCTCTCTCCATTCTGTTTCCTTCTTAAGTTACCAACATATCTCGCTCCATTCTTGGCCAAACATCTTGAAAAACTGTCCATGCCAGCTGCCTCCACTCCCTCACCTCCCACTCCCTCCTCAATCCACTGCAGCCTGGTGCTGTCCCTGGAGCTCCCCTAGAAATGCTCTCTGCAAGGTCACCACAGACTTCTGTGCGGAGTCCAGTGTGCTTCCCCAATCCTCACTCCTCGGAATCCCCTGCCCGTGACTTTGGGCTGTTGATTCCGGCCTGTCCTTGATCCCTTTGCAATTCTTTTCCTACTCAGGCCTTCCCTTAAATGTTCCATGCGTTGTGTTTTAGATCCTTTTCTCTTATCATTCTATTCCCTCTCCCGGGATGATTTCACCCACCTTCTATCACCACCTATTAGCTAAGGATTCTCAAATATGTGTTTCTAAAGTAGGTCTTGCTCTGAGCATCCAACCCACAAATCCAGCCGACCTGTGAAAATCCCCACTTGGATGTCCCAGAGGCACATCAAACTCAGCAAATCTCAACTAAAATTCCTCACTTCACCTTCTGGGAACCCACTGCCTTTCTCCTTTGAGTTCTTGGTTCACTGAATGGCACACCATTACAACTGTTGCTCCTCTAGGCCGGAGAGCCAGGGGGCTTCCTTGACTTCTTGTTCTTCTTCACCCTCACCCCCTCACCTCCCCATGCAATGGATCTCCGAGTCCAGTCTATTCCACCTTCTAAATACCTACCAAATCTAGCTGCTTCTCTTCAGGCTCTGTCTGGTCTCCGAGCCCATCTGCATTTGCTGGACTTCCAGCTTATCCTTCATGGGGAAGAGGAGGCTTAAGGCCCTACATGAAAGACAGGCCAAGGAAGGCCGATTAATCAGGGTGGGCAGGGGAAGCCTAAATTCAAGTCAGCTTACCCCGAGACTACTGCAATAGCCTCCTGTTTTGTTATTGTTTTTGTAAGGTAAGTTCCTCTTGTGCCTGTATATTTGAGTGGCTCAGAAGCATCTGAGGTACCATTTTTTGTTTGTTTTGTTTTGTTTTGTTTTAAGCAAGCTCTACTCCCAGCATGGGACTTGAACTCACCTCCCAGAGATAAAAAAATGTTGCATGCTCTACCAACTGAGGCAGATGGGCGCCCTTAGAGTACCAGTTTAAATGCATATTTGTAAGAAAATAAAAGAAAATAAATGCATATTCTTGGGCAGTATGGCTCTGGAATCCCCCATTTTTTGGAAAGATTTTATTTATTTATTCATGAAAGACACAGAGAGAGGAAGAGGGATGTGGGACTTAATCCCAGGACCCTGGGATCATAACCTGAGCTGAAGGCCAGCATTTAAACAACTGAACCACCCAGGTACCCTAGAATCCCCCCTTTTTAACAAGCTTCCCTGATGATTCTTTTTTCCCCCCCTGATGATTCTTAACACACACTGGTCTGAGAACCACAAACCATTCTAAAGTAAAAACAAAACAAAAAAAATTTGCCACTCCTTGGTTCATTGGCAGTCCTCTGCCTTGAAGGGTAAAGTCCAAAATTCCTATAAGGCCTACAGAGCCCTTTGAGAGTTAATCCAGGCTAACCATTTTAGCTCTTTCTCATCATTTCCTCCTGGAAGTCTCTGCTTCAGTCATATTCAATTACTTGGGGTTCCTGAATGTGCCAGCTCTCTATCAACTCCAAGCTTTCATCCATTGTAAGTACTCAAAGATTCACTGAGTGAGTAAATAAATTGAAGCTATCACTATGTGTAAGGTCACATGCTAGGCATTGGGCAAAGTCCCTGATTCAAGTAACTTATAATCAGGTCAGGGGTGGGTAGGAAATACACAAGAAGTGAAAGGGGAAGAGAACCAACTTCTGGGCGTCAGGCACTGAGTGGGGCTTTACTAATATTAGCTCATTTTCTCCTTACACAAACCCTTCCAAGTAGGTGTAGTATTTATTGGCTACTGAGGGTCAAAGGAGTTAAATAACTTGCCCAATATCACACAGCTGGCAAGTAGTGTTGATTGAGGTTCTACTGTATGCCAGGGAATGAACGAGCTGGGTGCTATGCCAGGTACTACAGAAAAAGAAAGAGAGAAGCTATCCTTGCTCTCCTGTACCTAGGTCTTCTGTTGCCATCACATACCTTCCCAGCCTGATAAGACTGGAGAACCATCAAAAAGGAATATGTCCTGTTAAACTTACCCTGGTTAATATATGTGAGTCTCCAATAATCAAATGGTTGTTTAGTCATTAGCTTTTAGGCGACAGGTGTGTCTTACAGTATCCTTCCTCTCCAAAGTTATGCTAAATTACAAAATCACCTTCAGGCAAAGGAGGAACTCCTATAAAAAGTAGTTAACATATTCAAATGTGTGAGCAATATATATTCCAATGGCAGGGGCACTCGGGTGGCTCAGTTGTTAAGCCTCTGCCTTCAGCTCAGGTCATGATCCCAGGGTCCTGGAATCGAACCCTACATCAGGGTCCCTGCTCAGCAGATTCTGCTTCTTCCTCTCCTACTCCCACTGCCTGTGTGCTCTCTCTCTTTTTTCCTCCCTCTCAAATAAATAAAATCTTAAAAAAAAAAAAAAAGAAAAAACATAGTACATTCCAATGGCAGACTGGAATTCTATGAGCTGAACCTAGGAGATCTGCTAAAGTTGTATACGAGAGTCTCTTTACAATTTCCAAAGGGGAGGGACGCCTGGGTGGCTCAGTTGGTTAAGCAGCTGCCTTCAGCTCAGGTCATGATCCCAGCGTCCTGGGATCGAGTCCCACATCGGGCTCCTTGCTCACCAGGGAGCCTGCTTCTCCCTCTGCCTCTGCCTGCCATTCTGTCTGCCTGTGCTCACTCTCTCTCCCTCTCTCTCTCTGACAAATAAATAAATAAAATCTTTAAAAAAAAAAAAAAACAATTTCCAAAGGGGAAAAAATGTGAAAAGATAGAAATTTCCCAACAGCGAGAGAGAGAGAACACAAGCAGGGGAAGTGGGAGAGGGAGAAGCAGGCTTCCTGCTGAGCAGGGAGCCTGATGTGGGGCTCAATCTCAGGACTCTGGGATCATACCCTGAACCAAAGGCAGACATTTAAGGACTGAGCCACCCAGGCCCCCCCCCATCATTTTTATGGGGGAGGGAAAGGGGGTGGCTGTGCACTGGAAGAGGATGCTTTAGAGTAAAAAGTAGAAGGGGTAGCAGATACAGAAAAGAACAATGGCAGATTTTCTTTTTTTTTCCCCAAAGATTGATTGATTGATTGATTCATTTGACAGACAGAGATCACAAGTAGGCAGAGAGACAGAGAGAGAGGAGGGGAAGCAGGCTCCCTGCCGAGCAGAGAGCCTGACACAGGGCTTGATCCCAGGACCCGGAGATCATGACCTGGGCCAAAGGCAGAGGCCTAACCCACTGAGCCACCCAGGCACCCCCAATGGCAGATTTTCATCAAGTGATTATTATCTGGGGATTCTGTGCTAACCCCTTGATCCTCACTAAACCTCTATTATTGTCCCATTTTACAGAAGAAGAAAATAAGACAGAGAGAGGTTGGCCAACTTGGTCACCCAGCTTGAAATGGCAGAGCCAGAATCCTATGGAACTCGGGCTTTCCAACTCAGAGCCCAGTGCTTAGTTCCTGTGGAACCACATATAGATCCCTATGCAAGGAAGAGAAAAAACAGGCAGAAAAAAAATCCTAGAATAGTCCAGGAGCACCAGTTGAGTTGTTTTGACTTAAATTTTTGTTTGGTACTCTCTTGGCAGAATGAAAGTTCCATGAAAGCAGAGACCTGTCCGTCTTGTTTGCAGTTTTATCCCCAACACCTTGCGTAGTTCTTGGATCCTGAAGGATGAGAGAAGTGGTAAGTGAGGAGGAGAGCTGTGTGGTGAGTGTTTTCACCATTAGGGGTTGAGTAGGAACTTGGGCAAAGAAAGGCCTCATTCCTCTATAAATCTAATTAAATATCAATAATTGGTGTAAGAAGGTAAGTAAGGGTAGGGTAAACCAGCCAGAAGGTACTTCTCATGGCCAGCTGCCAAAGAAAAAACAATATTCCTACAAGTAGTAGGAAAACAAGAATCAGAGTCTTATTTAGAGCTTTAAGTCTTTGCCAAAAACCCCAAGAAACACATAACTGAATTTATAACACAGACAACTAAAGTGTGTAGTTTATAACATCAAATTTCCTTC